GCTTTTGAGCGATAGGATTGTCTCGATGTACCTGTGGTCGGAGAAGGAGTGGTCCTCTAGGACTCTCCAACTTTTCATTATGTCTGACAGCTTGTGAGACAGTAGAGTGAGGTCAATAACCTCTTGACGGTTTTTTATGATGAAAGTGGGGTCATTACCCCGATTACCAATAATTAGGTTGGAGTTTAGGATGAAGCTGAAAAGTGACTCACCCCTCACATTTGTATCCGAGCTCCCCCATTGGGTGTGGTGAGCGTTGGCATCGCAGCCTATTAATAGGCTTGTATCCGACCTCTCGCTATCGCTGGCTATCTTGCGAACAAGGTCACTGGGAGGATCGCTTTCCTCGTGAGCCATGTAGGACGACACCAGGTTCAGGCGTGTCCCTTGTAGCTCTAGGCTAGCCGCCGTGTTGTCGCCATTGCTAAAATTGTGGAGCAGAAAGATATTTAAGTGCTTTCTTGCTAGTATGCAGGTTCTAATTTTACAATCAGGTTGTAGTCCTTCGTCGCTAATCCACAGACCCTGCCTCCTACCACCCAGGGCTCTTGGATTAGGACTATGTCCCCTCCGCTTGCGGCTAAGCGGAGTATTAGGGCAGCTGATGCTGCTTTACAGTGGTGGAGATTTATCTGCAGAAGCCTCAGAGACTTCGTTGGAATCATTCTCCACCACTGTTATATCGGCGTCAGAGTCGTCGAGGATATCGTCCCGACACAGCGCCTCAAAATCGAGCATCAGCTCCGTCTCCGAGGAGTAGCTCTCCAGGGCCGGCTCCGGCTCCGGGTCTACTTCGGGTGCCTCGATCTCCGAGGCAACGTCCTGCTCAACTGGGTTGTTGACAGAACGCGCCTCGGCCGCTGCATCCGACTTGTAGACCTTCATGCTTCTTTCGGGGCTAGCGATTCCCTGTTTAGGACTACCACTGCCTGATTTGTGGGGCCCTTTGATGCCTCCACTTTGACCACCTTCCAATCTGAGGTTGGCAGTGTAGGGTTGCATCTCTGCAACATCGTGAGGATCCGCTCGGGCTCCTTAAAGGTGGCCGGCACCCATATACGGGCCCTCGGTCTACTGGGCACCTCGCTCCAGTCCACAGCGACGAGCTTCGCCCCAGCGTAGACCTCTCCTATTTGCGCCACCGCAGCTTTGTATAGCTTCACGGAGCGCTCATCTTCGCAGGCCACCACTTTAATGCTCCCCTGGAACCATCCCATGTCTTTGCAGACTGGGGGTGGCCCGGGATCCTTCTCGAGAAGCTCGAAGCAGCGGTCGGCCAGTGCCGCTTCCACCCACTTCCATTGGCTTCTGGGTATTTTCCCCTCCGCGCTGCCTTTGTCGAGAACGCCTATCAGCGTCCTCTCCTTGGCAATCTGCGCGAAGGATACGTTTGGTATCACCCTGGAGCGCTTCGCGGCAGGTCCGGGCGTCTCTTGAGAGCGCTGCCTCTTCGGTTGTGCGTCGACCTTCTGTGGCTCCACACTGAAGTTGGGCAACACCGCCGAGGCCCATTCCACTTTTTTCAGCCAGTCTGCTGTTGGACTGACTTCCTGGCTGGCGTTCTGCCGACGGAGTATGTGCCCAGCACTCCTCTTTTCGGCATAGCTATATTTCCTGGTTTGGACACTGGTTGATGGCAAGCCATCACCCGCCGCTTCACCGGAAGGTTGAGCAGCCGCAATATTGCTTAGCTGCCCTACCATGGTATCCGTTTTGTGTGTTGGCTTTCCACCCATCCCAGGTTCGGGATGGGACCCACCCGGATTCATAAACGCGTCCTTCGCCATGCAGGTCTTTCCTGCGTCTGAGCGGATCGGGCCAGGCCTTTGGGCCGCTGCCTTCTCCCGCTTGGGATTTCTCCCTGCAGGCATTTGGGGAGTGCCTCTCTCGTTTTTGTTTTTGTTATTGCTTATATTTTCGTATTTTTCCATAAAATTCCCACGAGCTGCAGAGAAGGGGAACGGTCCACCCCGGCAGAGCTCTGCGTTACCCGGGTAAGGCATAATTAGAACAGGGGGCTGCCAAGTCCCTGAGCTCTCCGTTCACGACTGGGCTAGTTTTATACCGGGCCCCCAGCCAGGCTGACTCTTGGCACGGGTCGAGTAACACCTTAGTCCGGCCCGGGCCATGGCCGAACTGCTCACAGACCGTGCCAGCCGTTGGTTCCGCACCAGCCGCCTACAAAGTTCCTCATGGGAAAATTTCCGCCAGGAATTCTTAACGTTCTTCTTGCCATCACGGTATTTTGAACGATTGGAAGACCAGATCCGAGCCCGCAAGCAAGTGGCGGGGGAACTGTTCAAAGATTTCCTTATCGAGATACGTCTACTCATGCACCACGCCAGGTACGACGCAGCCAAGGAACTGAACAGGATCTATGACAACGCGCTGCCAGCATATCAGATGTACGTGCGCCGACACGAACTACAAAGCTTAGAGCAGCTCACACTGTTGGCCACAGATTTCGAGAGCATCCAAGAGCGGACCATTCCGACCACTTTCGCACCCCCGCGGAACACGCCAAGATACCCAAGGCCAGCTACAGAGCAGAGGAACAGTGACTCGCAGTGGACGCCATTTCGGAGACCACATTGGGAGTCGACAGACACACCAGGGAGACCGCCAGCTCAACCAAACAGTACGAATCCCGATATAGCACCTCGCATCATCACGACCCCCATCGCCAACCCACGCACCGCCTTTCGCCGGTGTGGTGAAGCCGGGCATGCGGCATACGACTGCCATAGTCCCTCGATCCTATTCTGCTGGGAATGTGGCAAACGCGGCACACGGACCGTCGATTGCTGCCGCCAGAATACGTCGGGAAACGACATGCGTCCCCAACTGACACGGGACTAGCTGGGAACGACGCCTCCATCAAGCTGGATCAACGAGAGGTTCCAATCCCGCTCCTGGTCCTGCCAAACATGTTGGGACAAGTCATTGTCGGCATGGACTTCCTAGGTGCCACCGAAACGACGATCCAATGCGGCTCCACGCTGCTACAGCTACGAGACCGTCACCCCATGCCCACTGAACCCGTGCTTACAACCATCCACGTACAAGACGCCGAACCTCGATACCAGAAACTTCAACAAATCGCAACGAACCCACGTCCACGACCTACCACAACGCTCACGGCACCCAATAACGCAACGCACCATTTGACACCCAAACCAATCGCAACGAATACGAAGCAACGGCACATTACGGAGAACACGAATCCAAGGTCAACACCAGCAAACAGCAACCAATCAATCGGGAAAACGAGTCTCACGGTCACTACGGAGCAACCGCGTCCTAGGCCCACAACAGGGAACACGCATCCCAAACAAACCACGAGGATCTCACACACGAGACAAACACACTTGAACCCGGCGCTCGACACAGGAAGCCCAGATCGAAGACAGATCGAAGAGGCATGCCTCGAGCCATGTCTGAGATCTTCGTCGCCCACACAAGTCGTTGCTGCGATACCAGAGGCGCTATCGCGACTCACCTGTTCACGTACCAGTGTGGCTGTAGTATAACACGAGTACTACACCCGGCATACCAAAATATCGTACCCATGGTCGACACCACACCCATCGTCGCCCACATAAGCGACTACCAACGGAGGATCGAAACGCACAGCGCCTTCGACACAACCCTCTTACCCGAAGACCCCAGCCAGCCATCTGACTCCGAAGCCGCCGATCCAGCCGAACATGAGCCGGAACCAGTCCCGGAGCCGTGGCCGCAGACCCAAGCATCCGTCGCCCAAACAAGCCATTGGTCCAACAAAAGAGACATCGTCAAGACCATCCAGTTCATGCACCAGTCTGGAGACAATACCACCCAAGTGTTCCGCCAGAGCTACAAAACTACTCTACCCACGTCCAACGCCTCCCCGATCATCGCCCATATAAGCGATTACCACCGGAGCATCGATTCGTCAAGCACATTTGACAAACCCATCCTTCCGAAAAACCCGAATCAAACCTTTGACCCCGGAGCCACCGAACCCACCGAAGACGACCCAGAACTACCGACGGATCCTTGGCCACCCGACATAGCACCGCAGATTCGATAATGCCTGGACGCAATAAGTACCTAAAATAATATTAAATAAATAAATATTCCTAACAATATATATTCCCGAAGTGCCAACGAAATTCCTTTCCCACGGTACCGGTGCACACCGATCACCTTACCTGGGACATTGGACACTTGTTGGGAGGCGATTGCTTAGGTAACCCTCGATTACCGGCCAAACCCCCCACATGCGCGAGCCAGTCAGCAGTCTCCGACTTTTCTTACCGGGAATATTGGGCACTGACTGCAGGGCTAATGATTAGGTAACCTTCTGTTACCGATCAGCCCGTCTGCACGCGCAGACTATAATTCGGCAATATATATTTATGTAAGAACCCTTCCCACATTCTGGAGTAGAAATAATATATCTGTAAGACATTCATGGGAAAATGGAAGGCCGCCCGATCTATAAAAGGCACTGCCTTGCATGAAGAAAAAGGCAGTCCACCAGCCATCGTAGGAGGCAGTCAATCAGCCATCGCAGGCAGCGAGTCCACCAGCCGTAGCAGTCAGGCAAATAACAAACACGCAAGTCAAACCACCATACGCGTCGTAGAACAATTAAAAATAACATAATACATAACATAACCGGGTAGAATAATAATACGGAAGAATAAAGAAACCCATTAAAATTAAAAGAACCAAAAAGTGTTGTGATTTCTATTTCAGTTGCTGGCAAAGTCCCCGTTTTTCCCAATAAAGTCCTCGTGAATTATAAATAACTTGTAATTCAGGACCCTGCACAGACTAATGCATATCTCAGCCTGAGATACCAGCCTGGAGGCCTTGTAAATTCTGGCTATAAAAATAAAAATTGTTATTTAGGATTAATCTTAGGCTACAGTTCTGTAAATAAATAAAAACTGTTAACTGTAAATTAAGAAATTTATAATATAACCTTAAATTGAAAACTGAATCTATAAAGTTGTACCAATTAGTTTATTTTATGAATGTGTAACTAATTTCTAAAAAAACAAACATTACATTAAATTTGGAAACTGAACTTCTCCTTTGAGCATTACAACTCCAGAAGGATTCACTTTTACTTTGATTTTAGTATTAGGGTATAAAACGCCATAGTCCACATTTTCATACAGGTCCTGAAAAAAAGTTGTAAAAGGTTTAAATATAATGTTAGGCTTGCAATTAAAATAAAATCTACATAGAGTCTTTAGGTTTTTTAAAAATGTTAACAGTTAGTTGGAAACAAAAAATGTTTTTGTTTAATCACACAGCCCGATATTAGCAGTAAATCCTAAGCATTGTTCGTCATTTGCACAGCCCACTGGAAGCCCACATTGTCATCTACATACTTAGATATGCTCCGCACTGCAGCAGCCTTCTTCTTAAACCCTTCTTTGGTATCTTCCTCTTGCACCTTTTTCCTTTTCTTTCGTCATTGCTCTCTCTATCTCGCGATTTCTCTCTCGCGTTCTAGCCGAAGCCTCGAATTAGGGCACGGAAATTTCTGCCCGCCTGCGCTTCAATTCACTCACTTGGTATTACACACCGTCTTTGATTCTAGTTCTTCAATCAGACACAGTCTGCAACTGACTCATCTTGCTCTCGTTATCGCTATAAAATCGTATCGCTTTAAATCCGCTCACCTTAAGGTATTGTTCGATACTATATATAATGAATACAAAGAACTTTCCATGTATAAACTGAACAATCATCGTCTCTTTAATTAACATATCGCCAAACTACGCTACTAAAAAAGCTCAGTTCTTCAACAGTTTTCTCAAGAAATATGTTCTTGAAATGACATTTTTCCCCCATTAATCTACGAAAACAGGATTAGGATTGGGTTGGCCAACCAATTTTAACTCAGCCGTATTTCGATAGATTTTTATGAACATTCAGACAGGCTCCGGCTTTCACATTCACTTTATGTTTTACTTTTCTGCAAAAAGTCATACTTTTCATTTCAAGGCGCTGTGGAATCCATATTTTGTGAATTTGTTTACTCTTTGTAATGTTAAGCGCCAAATTTACTGCGGTTATACCCACGCATTAGTACCAGCTCACAGAAAAAGGCTTCTGTTATGTTTAACAGAGACTTATCGATAGCCATTTCAGGCCACCACAGCTGAATTCACTTCTTGTTTTTGCTCTGACCAATTTTATCAGATCAAATTTTAAGGTTGGCTTAAATAAAAATTGTTTATAAAAAGGGCACAATCTGAATTGCCCAGATAATGGTGTCAAATTCAAGGCAATGCATCATTAAATCATCCTGACTTTGTTTTTATACTTTTAATGATGCCTTGTTAATGCAAATATGCACAAAAAATATAAGGACACAAAATAAAATTTTAATCGCCTAGATCTCAGAGACTATAAGAGCTAGGGCAACCAAATTTGGTTTCCAGACTCATGTGATATTCCACTGCTACAAGTATATTTCAAAATTTCGCCCCGCCTCCTTCCGCCCTAACAAAAAACGAAAATCTGTGGCAGGAACATTTTGAAAGATACGATTAAACTGAAAAGGCAGCATCGTAGAGAATGGCCATATCTACCAGATTGCTGAATCTGAATCAGATCGGATCATAATTATAGCCAGAATGAAGAAATTTTCAGTTGCTTTCCCCGCCTCCGCAGCCAGAGACACGCTATTCATTCTCTTTCTCGCTCGCACACTCTGCCGTTTTCAGTGCGCGAGCAACCGCTAGCGGAGGAGATGTAGAATATAAATGGTACATTTACAATAAACATGTTAGATGTAGAATATACATTGTAGATGGGATGTAGATGTAGATAACAGATGTAGCCAAAAAATTTAATATGTAATTTTTATACCCGTACTCAAAAAAGAGTTAAGGGGTATATTAGATTTGTGGTAAAAGTGGATGGGTGTAACGCAGAGAAGGAAAATTTTCCGACCCCATAAAGTATATATATTCTTGATCAGCATCAATAGCCGAGTCGATAGAGCCATGTCTGTCTGTCCGTCTGTCCGTCTGTCCGTCTGTCCGTCTTGTTTGACGCCTGGATCTCAGAGACTATAAAAGCTAGAGGAACCAAATTTTGTTTCTTGACTCATGTGATATCACACTGCTACAAGTGTATTTCAAATTTCGCCCCGCCCCCTTCCGACCCATAAAGGACGAAAATCTGTGGCAGCCACAATTTTAAAGATACGATAAAACTAAAAACGCAGTATCGTAGAGAATGACCATATCTACCAGATTGCCGAATCTGAATCAGATCGAATCATAATTATAGCCAGAATGAAGAAATTAATTTTCAGTTGCTTCCCCTTCCCCCTCCCGCGCACGACAACGCAACTCATTCTCCTTCTCGCTCGCACACTCTGCCGCGTTCAGTGCGCGAGCAACCCCTAGCGGAGGAGATGTAGAATAGGAATGGTACATCTATAATCTACATGTTAGATGTAAAATATATATTGTAGATGTAGATGTAGATAACAGATGTAGCAAAAAAATGTAAAATGTAAAATTTTTTTTTTTCTAAAATTCTAAAAAATCATAAGCTCAAAAATGTATAACTGACTGAGTACGGGTATAAGTAGAGTCGCGTCCCTAGAAGCGACTCACACGTTCCTTCTCGTTTTTTTTTTAATTCTAAAATTTTAGCTCAAAAATGTATATACTGACTGAGTACGGGTATAAATAGAGCCGCGTCCCCAGAAGCGACTCACACGCTCCTTCTCGTTTGTCTATTTTTAGTTTTTCTCAAGCAACTTTTTTTACGCCCACGAACGCTTTGCTTTGCTGTCCACACACCAGAAGCCCATAAAAATTGCATTTTAAAATTTTCCAGCCAAACTCATGCTTAACATGTTGACTGCATTTTACTACTTCGTCGGTACTTCTCGATACTATATATTTATTTATTTGTGTAGCCTGGTCTTCAAATCAACGTCAAACTTATACTTGGTCTTCTTTTGTTAATTTAATTCTTTTTGGCCAAGAATGCTACCAAATGTATGTATTCTTAATCGCTGTACCATTTAGATTTTAAATCTTTACCGCCAGCGGGACGGAAAGAGAATGAGTAGCGGGTCTCTTGCTGTAGGAGGCGTTGGAAGAAACTGAACATTTCTTCATTCTAGTTATAATTATGATCCATATTGATTCAGATTCGTCAATCTGGTAGATATGGTCATTCTCTACGATACTGTGTTTCGTTCTCCGCGTTGCGCACATCCACTTTTACCACAAATACAATATACCCCTAACTCTTTTTTGAGTACGGGTACAAAAACGTAAAATGTAAATTTTGTTTAAATTCTACATAAATCATAAGCTCAAAAATGTATATACTGACTGAGTACGGGTATAAAAGTAGAGTCCCCGAAGCGACTCACACGTTCCTTCTCTTTTTTCATAGAAGTTCTGTGAGAAATTAAACTAAATTCATATCATACGCAATTTTCATTTCGAACACAATTTCATATTTCTCTTCAACTGCAGGGATATTAGGAAATTGCTATACATTTTAATGCAAAAAATATAAAAACTAATAATTGCAGGTTTTTTAAATGTCGCGCAATCCCCATCAAATGTTTATTTGCTAAACATGAATGGCTTACCGATCCAATATAAATTGGTGGAATGATTGGAGACGGTTTTTTATTATTAAGAGCCATTTCTTATTGATTACACTACCGAAATCGAACTTTTTTTCCCAGCCAAACCGCTTTCTGTAGTTGGGGTTTAAATTTTTTAAGATTATGGTATGGTTATGTACCTAAACGCGCCAAATTAATGCACCTATACACAAAAAGGCCAGTTGCCGGAAAGTACCCAAAATCGCTTTTGCATTCAAGCTTTATATTTCCCAGACGGTAAGCTGAATCACAAGTGTTGGGCTGCTCTAGCTGTTTAACTTTTCAAAATAGCAAAATATCTTTACACCAGCGTAAGTCTAGAGCTATGTGAAAAAACAACGCTACCTCTAAAAAAGCTTAAAAAAAAATACCAGTTTTCAAAAATTCTTCAAAAAAAGTTCGCCATAGAAAAAAAAAATATCATCAAACCATTTCTAAGCCCCAAATCTTTAGAAAAAGTTCGTTTTGTTCCTTGGGGAAAAATCGTGTTGACTAGTGTTATCTGAGCACATGTATAAGAATATTTTGAGGGTAAGTGGCAGAGATTCCATCCATTGACCCAAAATAGAGAAGGCAATTATTCTGAAAAGTCCGATGAGTATTCATAGGATATGATAATATCTTCGACATACGGAAGCACTTTTGTATCAATTGTAGCTTGTGATATGTATTCCAGTTCCGTTGAGGTTTTTAAATATATGATGGACTCATTTACATATTTGGTGAAGAGCAAAATCCAGTAAAAAGATTGCGATTTTCAACTAGCTCCAATTTTTAGTTGGTCCTTTTAATATTTATAAGCTTTCTTTTGAAAATATAGAAATTTCTTCTAATTCTCATATCTCATATTGTCGCTGAGTTAACAATAAACGCTTTTTCAGCGATTTCTGATAACGATGCGATCGCTCTTCACAGGGAAAAAGCACTGGTGCAATTGCTGACTATCAAAACTTCACAATTGCACAATCCAAGCCGAAGCCTGTTACGCGCGGAACCCAGGGAGAAACGCAGCCCTCCTTCCGCCCAACCGACCAAGAGCGCTGCCGCATGACGCGCGACGCGTGTTCCCGAACCGATCGCGAGCATGCAGGAAAGATAGGTGTTAGACTAAAATTCGAGGAAAATTAGAGCTAAACACAACTCAAAGAGCTAAACATGCAAAGATAGCTAAGAAATATAACTAATTACGGGAAAGGTATGTTAGTATTAGTGATTTAAGAAGAGGAAGGGAATTAGTAGTTGATATTTATTTATTTTTTATTTATTTATTTATTTATTCGCCAACGGATAAACCTTATCTGGCTAGACTAACTTAATTCTACATTAAAAAGTAAATACAAAATGAGGAACTAACAATTAAACAAGAAAAACTCAGAAAGCAACCGTCTGACGGCTCCTTTCCCAAGGCAAAAATCGAATTGCATCCCAGCAGGTAGCGAATTATACCGGCGAAGAGCCCTACATATTGGCTCGTTATTACCGTAATTATTCCGGTGAAGATCAACTACAAAGAGTGCATGGCCC